ACAAACAATCTGAAAACTTTGCACTAGAATAGTAGTAAATGTGCATACTGTAAGACGAAATTGCACTCGATTGTTTGACTTTAAGTGTTGAAGTTTGATAAAGTAGAAACATGTAAAATTGCTGGAGATTTGCAGGAAATAGTGTCATGTACAAAAATATATTGTCGTTGAAAATGAAGGTTACATTGGACCCTATGTGTATACAAAAATACGTTGTTATAGTAAATTTTGTCAGTAAATAAATTATATCATTTAAACTAATCGCGGCATGTCAATAGTGTATTCGGCAAATTTATTCAAAATTAAATTAGCAATAATATTTTCTAACATCACAATACCCTACGACAACTCGTTATACTCATAAATGACTTTTGAAAAAAAGTTTACTTTGGACGCTGCGTCATATAGTAAAATAGATCGTTAAGGCGCATTTATTCAGTAATTAATTCATAACATTTAAACTATTCACCGTATATAAATAGTATATTTGGCAAATTGTTCAAAATTAAATTAGCAGCAACATTTTCTAATACCACAAGACCCTACAACAACTCAGTATACTCATAAATAAATTTTTAAAAATAAAGATTACTCACTCCAAATCTCTTATCCCTCAGATTTTTCCTTATTTATGCCAATAACATAAAAATAAGTTTTTCGTCTGATCTGAAAATACAACTTTTTCCCTAAAAGTGCACGCAACCTGAAACAACGCGTTGTTTTAGGTTAAAATGCAAGCGCGCGGGAAATCTTGGGAAAATATTATGATGAGATATTTTTGAATTTAGCAATTAAATTTAACTAGTGATAGATTGCTTTTAATTATGTAATTTGTATATAATAATTGTATTGCATTATTAATTGTTATATTTTGGTAAAAAAAAGTTTTTATATCGTTTTTCCCTAAAATTACGCGCAACCTGAAACGACGCCCTGTTTTAGGTTAACGTGCAAGCACGCGCAAAATCTCGGGAAAATATTATGATGAGATATTTTTGAATTTAGCATTAAAATTTAACTAGTGAATTTGCTGGAACTTCCCGTACCGCAATGAATATTTGAAGATCAATAAGTACTGAAACTTTCATTATTTTTGGTGTTTTGTTATATCGAATTTAATACTGGTAGCAATTTTTTTCTTTCTATTTATTTCTTAACAACCGTCATTTCATTTCTAATTCAATTTCAAAAAAATGGTATGTAAAAAGTGTATGGGAAATTTGTACAAATTAAATTAGCAACAATATTTTCTAATATCATAACACTCTTAAAATGATGGTTATTTTGGACACTGTGCCATCATGCACTACATACCTAGTTAAGGTACATTTATTCAGTAATTAATTTATAACGTTTAAAATATTCACGCAATGTAAATAGTA